TTCAACACTTGGACTTCATACTTCGTTAGTAGCTGTTAGTTCTTCCTTTAGACCACTCAGTGACACAGATGCCTATTAGTCCCATGGTTCGAGTGAAAAAAACTGAGACAGAGCAAAGTTAAGGAATTAGTTCCCACCCACCTGGAATTTTAAACATATTAAATGCTTACGCTGGTCCACCTCTTTCCACATACAGTGCAGACCGTAACACCCAATGGATTGATTAACCAGTGTGACCCTGCTGCCCACCTCTTCTCCTCCTCCATTCCTGCAACGAGGGGCAGGCTTCAGTTAACAGAAAATAAGTGGACAAGATAATAAGCGGAAATCTTTTATTGAATTTCTTTAAAAAGCCAGTAGTCCAGTGACCATTCTATCATTCTGAAATTTTGTTCCCTGTCTTCCGGAGTATCTCCTCAGCTGAGTGTCCAGTACCTTTGAGGCCCAGAGTCTCTTTTAGTGGAAGGAATTTGTGTTTACATTCCTCTCACATCTTGCAGAGATAGTTTCTGTCAAGAATCTTTGGGTTTAATGAAAACCTCTAGGTTTCTTTTCTCAGACCATAAGTTTAATTATAATATTTTTAAGATTTGCAAGACACATAATTTCCCCTTAACATGAACTTTTCCCTAGTAGAATTTTAGCTTTGTATTTCAATGAACTCTTGTACATGTTTTAAAAAAAGTTCATTGGTTAGAAAATTAGTCTTGCTATGTTTCCAAGTATTCAAGACTTATAAATTTAAAACAAAATAAAACAGTTTGATTTACTTAGGAAAACTAACCTCAAAAGAAAAAAAAACATACTTGTTAAGCTTTGAATTTAAACTTAAAGTTTCATACTGGGGAATTTTTTCGCCACTTCTCTTTTTAACTAATTCATGTCTCACAAATCGAGTTTAATTTTCCTAATATTGTTAAACTGAGTTCCTCTTCAATAACCTTATCTAGCCATGAGAATGAAGAAATTTTTTGCTTGTTTGTTTTTCAAGGTCAGACTTAATGTATATTGTTCACAAAGTGATGGGGAAAAGGCCACTTTGAGAAAAGTTATTTATACGAGTCATTTTTTGGAAATGATTCAAATGAAGGGGTGATATGTACTTGCTGAGTGGCCCATGGACTGCAGCCTTGACTTTGGGATGCTCTGTCCTCTTGAGGCTTGGGGTTTCCTCTCTGTCCAGTGAAACAGGTGGTCTCCAGCTGCCCCGGCTGTAGTCACTCACACAGACGTCATGATTTTTAACATATAAGTGACTACAGCCTTTATTTAATATTCGAACTACTGTACAAATATTACTGCAGTAATTTTTCTGACTTTTTATCTTTAAATTAACTTATTTTTGACTTAAACAATTGTGTTTTAAAAGGAAGTTTTGTGACCCTGCCGTAAACAGACAATAACCAGGAAAAAATTAATTTCATGAAAACCGTATAGTCCTGTTAAGTTCTAGCTTCACACTGTTGCATGCTAAAGACTGAGCCTGAGGCTTGCCTTCTATTTCTTAAAAAGGAAAACTGTTGGATAGTTCTTTGTCAGCACCAGCCTGACTTTCTTCTTGATATAATTAGAAGTCTCAAAAAACCTGAAATGTAGTGAGTTTTTTTTTACATTTTTATTGATTCATAATCATTTTACAGTGTTGTGTCAAATTCCAGTGTTCAGTACAATTTTTCAGTCTGTAGTGAGTTTTTCATTGTATTGTTCAACATCGACATGCCTCCTAAAATTATCTTGTACACACTAACGGTACACATCCCTCAACCTGGGAAACACTGGGTTGTATGTTGTCCAAGGCCTCTGCCAGCTATCACAGTTTATTATGCTGGAAATCAGGGATTGCAATTTACAGACACGCCGGAGACACAGAAGTACGTTACTCTGCTGGTGTTTGAAAAGCTGAGACACAGACATCTGGTAGGAAAAGCTGACTCTTCTCTCTCCTCCATGATTCTGGGTAACTTGTTCAGACATGAAAAGATAATGAGGAAGTGTGAATAAGAGCAGAAGTGAGGATTCAGCTGGTCAGTGTGATTTGGTTTTTGCAGAAGACCTTTATCTAACAATCAAATTGGAAAATGTCATTAAATCAGTCAAAACGATTTTTAGTGGAGCCAAAAGGCAAATGCTGTGATCAGTTTAACAAAGTAGCTGTATTTTGATAAAGAATTGATGCAGTTTTGGTAATATTGCCAAACTTACTCAACTTCAGCTTGCTCTAATGGCCCAGTGACCATTTACATGATGAAAGTGATTGTTTTAAAAACTGAAATGAATAGCTATTTCTGCTTATAACTTTGTGTTTGTTTCTTGCTATAAGCTTGTACAGTTAGACACAGAGTGAAACCTCAGTTCAAGAACTTTACTTTCTCGTTCGTGAACTTCTGAATGATGGCCATTCTGACTGGTGTGAGGTGATACCTCACTGTAGTTTTGATTTGCATTTCTCTGATAATTACTGATATTGAGCATTTTTTCATGTGCCTATTGGCCATTTGTATGTCTTCACTGCAGAACTGCTTGTTTAGCTCTTATGTCTATTTTTGGATTGGGCTGTTTGTTTTTTTCTTATTAAGTTGTATGAGCTGTTTATATGTTCTGGAAATTAAACCTTTGTCAGTCACATCATTTGCAAATATTTTCTCCAATTCTGTAGATTTTTTTGTTTTGCTTATGATTTCCTCTGCTGTGCAAAAGCTTTTAAGTTTAACTAGGTCCCATTTGTTAATTTTTGCTGTTATTGCTATTGCCTGGGTAGACTGTCTTAAGAGAACATTGCTAAGATTTATGTTCGAGAATGTTTTTCCTATGTTTTCTTCTAGGAGGTTTACTGCGTCTTGTCTTATATTTAAGTCTTTAAGCCATTTTGAGTTTTTTTGTGTGTGTCTGGTGTGAAGGAGTGTTCTAACTTCATTGACTTCCATGCTGCTATCCACTTGCTGAAGAGACTGTCTTTTCTC